GTCTTAGTTGCGGCACGCGGGATCTTTGTTGAGGCGTGTGGGCTTCTCTCTGGTTGTGGCGTGCGGGTTTTCTCTTCTCTAGTTGTGGCACTCAGGCTTCAGGGCACATGGGCTCTGTAGTTGTGGCGCGTGGGCTCCCGAGCACATGGGCTCTGTAGTTAGCGGCACGCGGGCTCTCTCACTGAGGCATGCGAGCTCAGTAGTTGTGGCACAAGGGCTTAGTCGCCCCGTGGTATGTGGGATCTTAGTTCCCTGACCAGGGATGGGACCCGCGTCCCCTGCATTGTAAGGCGGATTCTTTACCACTGAACCACCAGGGAAGTCCCAAGGACGTTCTTAAGTGAAACTGACTTTTTATTTTTACTGCGAGTATGTGGTAGTAAAGAATACAGTGATATTAACATGGTTTGATGCCACTGCTAAGGCACCACTGCTTTGGCACCATCAGTGCAAATGGCAAATAGATAACAGTAATAATACTGTGAAAATAGTTTTGTCCTGAGAGTATTTCAGGCACCCTCAGGGTTCCACGGACCACACTTTGAGAACCTCCATCTGGTGCACCATTTTCATTTTGCAAATGTAGAAACTGGGGACTGGAGAGGAAATAACTAACTCCAGCCTTCAGCATTTTATCGCCACTTGTCACAGGTTGGGTTTCCCAGGAAGTAGACTCCAAGATGGAATTCCTTGTTCAGGAAAGTCTAACATGGGGGTCATTACCTGTGGATTCTGGCTTCCCCAAGGTCACATATTTTCTCGTTCCAGGTCCCCCGCCTGCCAGTCACTTTCCCTCTCTATTTTGCCTTTGCCCCGTGCACAATGCCCTTGATAATGAGACTGAAAATAAAAAGCTCTGTGTTCTCCAGGCAGGCCTCTGATTCAAGGCTTTGCCTAAAAATATTCTGCCCTCAAAATCGACAGGCTAGGGCTTCCCTGGTGGCGCAGTGGTTGAGAGTCCGCCTGCCGATGCAGGGGACACGGGTTCGTGCACTGGTCCAGGAAGATCCCACATGCCGCGGAGCGGCTGGGCCCGTGAGCCATGGCCGCTGAGCCTGCGCGTCCGGAGCCTGTGCTCCGCAACGGGAGAGGCCACAACAGTGAGAGGTCCACGTACTGCAAACAAAAAAAATCGACAGGCTCTAACTTGTGAACGGGTCCGTAGACGCAGAGGCTTAAGGATTTCATTTGACCCCACTTCAAAGCCATCTCCTGCTTTCCAAGGTGTCCCTGGGTTCCCTGGGACCTGGATAAATATTCTATTTGCTTGCACAAAAACCTCAGAGAATGACTCCTAAGATACTCCCAGAAGGTCGGATCCACCTGACACTTTCTGCATCTCACTATAGTCCCCTGCATTGAGTTCAAACTCCTGCTCCCTTCTCAAGGCCCTCCATCACCCTCTAACCTCTAATACACACATTCTACTCCAAAGAAACTATGCCCTCTGCTCTCCCCGCACCACACTGTGGTCACTCAGGCCCCTGCCATGATGCACACTGCTGCCCCACCCAGACCCCATCCCTATTTCCCAATGACCTTTTCAAAGCAGGCTCAGTCCAGATCACCTCCTCCAAAAAGCTCCACCTGTCATCTGGACTCTTCCTGTTCAAATTATGTGCACCATACAACGTGGGACTTAATTATACACCATCTTGAATGTTCACCTTTGTTTCTTGTGTGATAGGCAACTCAAAGCAACTCACAGAGCTGTTATCATGTTCCAGGGGCTGAGCTGAACAGGAGGGGCAAAGATGAACCAAGCAACGCCTCTGTCCTGAAGGGGCTGGTGGTGAACCCACACACACACCACAGTCATGCTCCCAAGCAGGCTGTCACTCTCTTCAGAAGAGACCACCCCTCCAATGCCTGGCCTGAGAGGCAGTGTGGACAGTGAATGCCTCAACTTGGGAGCCCAGTCCATCTAGGGTGCACCCGCTGTCCTTCCACCTGTCAGCCTCAAACTACTCACTGGCCAGCAGGCATTATACAGGTCTGGACACCAAAAGGCAGCCACCTCCTCCACCTATGGATAAACTCACAGCTGAACACAGAGATAAATAATAAATATACTATGAGCCAGGCACTATGTTGAGAGCATTAAATGTATTAGGACTCTTAATCTTAATTCTCCAAACTAGGTACATCTATTATCCTCATCTTATACATAAGGAGACTGAGCCTTGGGAGGTATCAACTAGCCCAAGACCACACAACCAAAAAACGGAAGAGCCAAGAGCCGACCCACTCATGTGGTCTTATTCCAGAGACTCAGCCCTCAATAATAATTATTATCATACTTAAATAGCAGCTAATGTTTCTAAACATAATATATGTGAGCACTGTGCCAAGCGTACTATGTGGATTATTTCATCAATTCCCCCAAAACCCTATGAGATAGGGTTACTAACCCATTTTACAGATGAGAAATTGAGTCTTAGAGAGGTTACCTGGCTCAAGGTCTCAGCTATCCAGAAATCAGACGCTGGCATAGCTGCCTCTTTTAGCCAACTCATCAGTAACCCAAGGGTCATGACCAGTGGCTGGGTCTGAATTGGCTTCCGGCCTTGTCCACATGCACCTTCTGTGTTCATAGGAAATGACCACCTTGCTCTGATGACAGTCAATGTCTGTGGCTGGTGGGCCACCTGGCTACACAGCCCCAGACAGAGCCAAAGGATGGTTGTCCACAAAGTCCTGTACTATAGCCTGAATGTCTGTCTGTGTCCTCCCAAAATGCATATGTGGAAAAACAATGCCCAATGTGAAGGTATTAGGAGTGTATCTGGAATGTGGTGAGTTTATGAGGGTGGAACCCTCATGAATGGGATTAGTGCCCTTATAAAAGAGGCTCCAGAGAGCTCCCTTGCCCCCTCCACCATGTGAGGACACAAGGAAAAGGCTGCAGCCTGGAAGATGCTGCACCTGACCATGCTCACCTGACCATGTTCCACTCTGATCTCAGACTTTCAGCCTCCAGAACTGTGAGAAATAGATGTCTGTTGTTTATGGACCACCCAGTCTGTGATATTCTGTTAAAGCAGCCCAAACAGACTAAGATACCCTGGCTGGGAATTTGCAGGCTGCCCCACACGTCCCAGGCCCGTAGGCTCAGCAAGACCTCAGGGCCAGACACTAAGGCATCAGACTTCAGTCATGCAAACCTAGACTTAAAGTTCCTTCCCAGACAGAAGTGCTGTTTTGAGAGGCTGGGAGACCTTGGGACAATCCCTTCCTTCCCTGGCCCCTGTTCCTCTGTCACTGAAATGAGGATTAAGTGAGAATGTCCACAAAGGGCTTGTCCTCTCTAGAAGCTCAGCCAACAGTGCTATAATTATTTTAAATTGATGTTATCGGCTAAGTGCCAGGCTACCTGGAAAATTCCTTCAGTTTCCTCTGGGGTCCAGGGAACTGACATCAGGGAGGACCTGGATGGATCCAGTCCCTTCCACCCAACACTCAGCCCTTCCACGCTGCCCTCTTCTTCACCGCCTGCAACCTCAGACTGAATTTCCATCTCGAAAGAATGCTCTTAGCCTCAGCCTGCCCCTCCCCTTCGTCTCTGGGGTGGGCTCTGAAGATTTCATCTGGACAGAATCAATTTGCTAAGTGCAGGCAGAGACTAATGCTCTGTTACAATTTTTCTACATACCTCATTTATCCTAATGGAAATATCCTAAATTTTAAATATCCTAATACGATATATTTTTTAATTTATTTACTTTTTAAATTTATTTATTTATTTATTTGGCTGCATTGGGTCTTTGTTGCTGTGCGTGGGCTTTCTCTAGTTGCAGTGAGTGGGGGCTACTCTTCGTTGCAGTGTGCGGGCTTCTCATTATGGTGGCTTCTCTTGTTGCAGAGCATGGACTCTAGGCACGTGGGCTTCAGTAGTTGTGGCATGCGTGCTCAGTAGTTGTGGCTCGTGGGCTCTAGAGCACAGACTCAGTAGTTGTGGCCCACGGGTTTAGTTGCTCCACTGCATGTGGGATCTTCCTGGAGCAGGGCTCGAACCTGTGTCCCCTACATTGACAAGTGGATTCTTAACCACGGCGCCACCAAGGAAGTCCCCAATACGATATTTTAAAAGTTAATATTGTAATACGTATCTCAGTTAGCTTAGCGCAGCCCCTCTTGAGCAGAGGCTGCAGGCTCCATGCTGAGGGACGGGACCCTGCGGACATTATAGGAGGTGGGCCAGGGCTAGAAGGAAGCCCAGATCTGGCATGAAGTGTTGAGGAGAGCTGCTCGAGAACTTTCGCACTTAGAAGACCCCTGGGCTTCATTACGTTAACAACATGGCCTCAAGGTCCTTCCATCCAAAGAAGAAATGCATTTCTCAGCAAATTATTCTACAGCCAGTATTTCTTGAAATTGCATTATAATATCAGAAAGGTTGTGAACAGGACAGAGAACAGAGCAATGCATACTTGGGGTCCATGGTGGGTTCTGAGTGAGTTTCTGGTTTTGCATTAGGGAGATGGGAAAGGGAACAGATTGCTTTGGGTGGGGGGCATGAGGGTGTTTTTTGCCTCTTTAAATGCACACACATATTATTGGCTTTTCTTTTCCACCATCACTTTACTCTAAGCAAAGCCTCATTACTTAAAAAAAAAAAAAAAAAAAAAGCTGGAGCGTCCTAACAATAGTCCATAATTACTTTGCAAATGGTTCTGTGGAGTAATTATGCCATTAGTCCATGTGCCTTCTACATCAAAGATTTCTCTCTCTCTGCAGTGCCTTATCTATTTGGGTTAGGCAATGAGAAGAAGCTCCCAGGAGCCTGAGTGATGGGGACCCAGGCTGTGGGCACGGGGATTTAGAGATGCCCATCTTAGCACGTCTATTGTCAAACCAACAATTCCTACAAATGACACCTCCCCGTGGGAAGGCAGGATGCTAAGGCAGAGTTCCCAAAGAAAAGAGATTAACAATCAGCCTTTGGAGAAGGCGTATTCGGGCAGCTGCCTCTAAGGATTTCTGGCCACACTAGATAGAGAAGGGAACCTCACAGCCATCTTTGGCTTTACTCACCAGTTTGTTACGACAGGCTGTGGCCCTGTGAAGGTCGCCCGTCCTGCAGTTAATAGATCCAAGTGGGAAAACCTTCTGTGGTTCCCATACATCCTAAGGAGAGAGGAAAAAAAGCATAGACCACATTTAGTTGAGGACCTGCTCCATGTCAGCTGCTGTACTTGGCATTTCACTCCTAGTATCTAGTAATTCACTTCTATTTTACAGATGAGGAACTGAAGCTCAAAAAGATCACCAATGCCCAGCCTTCTCCAATGTTTCTATCCCAGTATCCTAAGCGAAGTGGCTTTTATCCTCAAGGTCACTCCCATAGTCAGAAATGGCTGCAGGAGCTCCAGCCATCACATCCATATCTCAGACAGAAAGAAAGAGAATGTGGGGTGGGGGAGAAGGCAAAAGGGCACTTCAAGGAGATTTTCCAAATCTCCATCCGATGGCTTCAATCTCATTGGTCATCCCATTGCAAAGGAGATTGAGAAAAAGAGTTTTTAGCCAAGCAAGAACTACCTTTAAAAATATAGGGCTCTGTTACTAAGAAAGCAGAAGAGATTGGGACAATGGGTAGCTAAGCCACAATCACTATTCTGCTTTACACACTTTATTTTGTTTAAACACTCACAGTAATCCTGCAAGGTGGATGCTGTTACACCCATTCTGTCAATGAGGCTCAAAATGTGTAAATCCCTTGCCCAGCACAGAGCAGTTAGTAAGTGGGCCTGACCCAAAGCAGGGTTCAACCACAGTGCCCACTGCCCATCACTGCAACTCCCTGGCAGAGGCCTGACAACAAAGGGCAGGGCAGCAAGTGGGACAAAGCAGGGCTGTACAGTGATGGGAAACGAATGCACACTGGTGGCGAGGCATCTCACTGTGTGCACTGGTGCAGGTTCCTGTGAGGAAAGAGGGGACAGCACGGAGCTGGTGAGACACATGGAGAAGGGCAGGTGCTACACACCTTCTGTGCAGCCTATAGTCCTGGGAGCCCCACAGGAGCCACCTCCAAGAAGGGAAAGACTACAAGGGTCTATCTGTTTCATTGCTCTATCCCTAGTTCTCAGTAGAATCATTAGATCAGTGAATGAATGAATAAACAAATGATTAAATTAAGAAGATACTTTGCAGCCTACTGCCTTCTTCCGGTTTAGATGGATTTCAGAAAAAAAGCTATTCTGAAACAGACATTCCAGACTCAGATTCTGGTTGCCTCAGAGCACAGACCACAGGCACACAGCAGATCTACCCCCTCTGAACAACCAGTGATGCTTTTTGTAATTTTGGTAGCTATTTAAAACTGCATCGTGCAATACATAATTTTTTATTGATCTGTAATTATAAATGTATCTGATCAATTAAATAAGATGATGAATCCATTCGCAGGCTTCTAAGGCATGTGATTCATTTTGATTGATTGATGATTGATTGATTTTGGTTGGTTGCCCTCCCAGATTTGGGTAGGTAGGTAGGGGGTACCCAAATGTCAGTAGAGAAGACCCCCTGAGTCTCCCAAAATCCTTGACCCTGGCTCCAAATATTCTACTTCATTACACCCTCCAACCACTACCGTTTTTAGGAAGTCGCCAATTAAAGATTCACCTGGCACAGTCTGGGAAGGCTAACCCTTGAGTTCTCTGACATCCCCACCAAAGAGGAAGAATTCCTCAGATCTCCAGGGTCCTTTCCATCTCGTGAAAAGCCAGGGGCTCTCAAGCACTGAGGGGCTGGGTGTTTGACAGGGGCAGGAGGGGCGACCTCGGAGCCTGCAGCTCTCAAAGTAAAGCAACCTAAATGGTGAGCGGACACCTAGGACAGAGGGTGCCTAAGGGCACTAGGCAGGAGAGCAGCAATGCTTCCCTTTTTCCTCATCAATTACACCTTGACCTGGGGCTCAAATTCCAGGGTTAAACAGTGCATCTGAATCAGCTCATTCATATTCAGATTTCTGTTACTCACCACCCCAGAGATTCTGATTCAGTGGGTCTGAAGAGTCCCCAATGTACATTTTTAACAAGGAGGTGGTGACTCTATTGCAAATGAGAAAAACTGCCTTACTCTCTGGGCTACTCCCTGTGACTTGTTAACTTTTCAACCTTTCCACTACCTCTAAGAACAATCGAGTTCAAGGCCATTCAGAAAACATTTACTTATAGGAAGGCAGTGACATAGACACAGTCTGAGATTTACAGGCAGACAGAGGTAGGAGGGGGCATCACGGGCCCCCAGGACCCCAGCCCTAGAAGGAGAGGCAGGCCTGGAGCAAGTACCCCGTGAGCACGGAGGAGGTGGCAGCCGCACACTGCTGCCGAAGAAGGAAGTGCAGTTCCAGCGGGAAGAAGCAGGGGTGGCTTCACAGGAGACAGAATTTGAACTTGCGCCCGAAGGGTGCAGAGTTTTAAAATCAAGGGCAGGCGGGATGGGTCCTGGGGGAATCCCGCAGTGGCTGCTCTTGTGTTGAGTTGAAATCTACTTCTCTAAGTAAGTCCTTCTGACAGGTCCCAGCTCTACCCAGTTTTTCTCCTGCTGCAGCAACAGCTCTGCATCTCCACCCCAGGGCCACGCAGTCTGGCTTCCCTGCTCTACTCGAGGCTGGGAGCACAGCTGGAGAAACCCTCCCAGCTCCACGGAGTGGGGCCTTCAGTGCTGCCCCCGCTGCTGGCTCTTGATCAGCTCCCTTTCCCCTTGGCAGCTGCTCAGCCTCCTGTCCTCTCTGCAACATCCCTACATCCATCGCAGCCCCACCCGTAACTCCGTATAGAAAGTGGGACGGCCACTTGGGCAGAGGGAACACCGGGGATTCACCTTCCAGCCTCGTTCCCACCTGCTTGTCCCCCAGCGCCGGTACCCACAGCTCCACAGCTGGACTCTGACTTCCAGTGGCGTCCGCAGGGCTAGGGAAGGCCTGGCTTATGATGGACATGGCAAACCAATAGGATTTGGTGAACTTCAATCTGAAAGAAGCCTCCATCACCACCCCCACCCCACCCCCAAACCCACCTACCCTATCTACACTCTCACCTGATCCCACTCAACACCATTTCCAGGGAAAACACAGTCCATTCCACATGGAAAATCCCTCCCTTCTGCCCTTGCCTCCCCAGCTCCCCCTCGTCCCCATGACCTGTCCCTGTGGATTTGTCTAAACCAGCAGCTGCCCTCACCTCCCGTCTCCCAGAAAGAGGTGAGCTGCCTCCTTGGTAAAGCTCATCCCCACCCCAGGCTCCCTGTCTCTGGCTTTCCACCGTCTTATCCACCCTCCCTCCACACTGCTGCTTCTCAAAGTGGGGTCTGAGAACCGCCACACCTGAATCGGCGGGGATGCTTGTTAACCATGCAGATCCCAGGCCACCCACTAGATCTACTGAACTAAACTCTCTGCAGCTGAAGCCCAGGAGTCTGGATTTTAACAAGCATCCCGGTAATATTTTTTCAAATCATAAACACCCCCCCCCGCCATGACTCCCACACACATACACTTCCCATCCTCCTAGGGACAGCAGGATAAAGACCAGCAATTGCAGCCTCATCACCGCCTCGCCGCCACATCCCCCTGGCAGCCCTTAGAACCTGCGGTACTGAGCCCTGAGCGACCAGAGGGCTGCCAGCTTCCTAAACCCACACTGTTTGTCATACCCCTGTGTCTTCATCCCTCCTTTCCCCTCTCCAGAGCATTTTTCCCACCCACTCCCACACTCCAACTCGAAACTCCTGAGTCCCCTCCCCAAACATGCTAAGCCCCCATGCTTCCCACTTCAGTGAATGGCATCCACTCAGTTGCTCAAGCCTCAAACCTAAAAGTTCTGTTTGGTTCCTCCCTGGCCCTACAGCCCAGTCTCAGCAAGTCATTTGTTCCTACCCTCGCGATGCAGCCCAAATCCACACATCCTGGACCACACCCACCATTGCTCAGCTGGCCTGCGCTCGGCACATTCTACCCCACGACCTCCTCTTGCCCAGTTCATCCCCATCTCTGGCAAATAGCATCTCAGAGAGGCGTTCTCCAACCTCTTGTCCCAAAAGAACTATGTAAAATGAAATCACTTCCTCTTTCTGCACGGGGAAATAGCACTCCCTGAAGTTGTAAGAAATACCTGTGTTTACTTGTCCATCTTCCAGCTCTTTCACTATGAGGTAAATAACATGAGGGCAGGGACCCACTTCAGGCAAGTCACCTCTCAGACCAGCATCCCCTAAATGCCCTACCATAGACACCCAGTAAATATTCATTGAATGTGAAATGAACCCTTTAAAGTCTTTACAAAAGTTAACTTAATCCACACAGGACCCCCATTACTGTTCCTTTTATTACAGAGGAAGAAACCAAAGTAAGGTGAATTGCAGAGACAGCAGAGCAAGTGAAGGACATGGCTGGGATTCGAACCCAGGACAGCCAGAAGTCAGAGCCCAAGCTTCCTTAATCAAACTGCCTCTTCTCAAGGCCAGGACCTGGGGCTTAGGACAGTGTCCAGTCTACTCTACAGATGGTATCAGCTAGCTATGGCTGCATAACAAAATGCCCCACAGCATATTAGCTTAAAACAACATTTATCATCTCAGTTTCTGTGAGTTAAGAATCCAGGCTGGTTCCTCTGGCTCTGGGTCCCTCAGAAGACTGTAGCCAAGCTGCCAGCTGGAAGGAATTTGCTTCCAAGCTCACTCCCATGGTTACTGGCAGAATTCTGTTCCTTAAAGGCTGTTGGGTGAAGGGCCTCAGTTTCTCCCTGGCTATTAGCCCAGAGGCCACCTGCAGGTCCTTGTCACGTAAGCCCCACCGTGGCACAACTCACAACATGACAGCTGGCTTCACTGGAGCAAGTGAGAAGGACCAGAGAGGGTGAGAGTGAGGCAGAAATCACAGTCTTTTTGTAACTAGGTTAGACTGCTTGGGCTGCCAAAACAAATACCACAGACTTGGGGGAGACAACAGAAATGGACTGTCTCACAGTTCTGGAGGCTGGAAGGCCAAGTTCAAGGTGTTGGCAGGGATGGTTTCTTCTGAGAGCAATGGGGGAGACTCTGTTCCATGCCTGTCCCCCAGCTTCTGGTGGTTTGCTGGTGATTTTTGGTATCCCTCAGCTCAGGGATACATCATCCTTCTC